ATATTTATTCATAAGTGACAAAAAATTCATTAATTTGTTAAAATTAAATATTATCTACAAATTTTTTTATATGCAAATACTATTTTTTAATAATATTAAAACATAGAAGTGATAGAAAAAGTCTAATTGCACATTTGAAAACATTGCGAAAAGTTGATTTTGAATAGTATATTTTTGTTTCTGATGAAAGTTCCTTGTAGTCCAGTGTATAAAACTTATAACTTTGTTAACTGTTATAACTTTAACAAAAATGACCAAATCAGTATAATTTTTTTTATTTAGATGCATGTCTTTTCTATCATTTGTTTTTTTTATAAATCTAACTCTTTACCTGCCCACAAGTGGGATTCAAAATTATAACTTTCTTTTTTTTTAGCTAAAGTAAATCATTAAAATTAATTCAGTTCTGGATATTTCAATTGTAGAATCTTTTTAAATACTAAAAATTACTTAGAAATGATTACTATGATTTCTATTTAGGTGTTCTATTACAATAAAAATACAAAAAACAATGAGTTTTTCTGATAAATATACTGTAAATAGTAATTATAAAATTTCCTGACTGCATATTAGTCTTAAAAATAGCATAGTTTTAATTCTCATAAAATTTTCTATTTAATGATTCATTCTAGTCAACGAAGGATTAATTTTGGAGAATAGCAGAAAAAATTCTCAACCAATTTTTTTTTCTTTGTTTTAATTAGGCAATTGGTGGATTATTCTAAAAGCAACATCAACTCTTATTTCTTTAATTATATCCTGATTAGTAGTTCTTTGATTTTAAAATATAATATATGAATAAATACTAATTATAATTATTAAATTTAGTATGAAATTGATATTCAATAATTTAATATTGTAATTTAAACGGAGAAATTATAAAAATAATAAAGAAGTTGTATTTTGCTTTATTTTTACGTGTATAAAAATTTAAAGGGCTTAATACAATAATTTTCAATAAAAACTGTTTGTTACTATAAATGAATGCACTGTACTTCAAGGAACTTTCATCAGAAACAAAAATATACTTTTTTAAATCAAAGTTTCGCGTTGTTTTCAAATCTGCAATTAGACTTTATCTATCAGTTCTTTATTTTTTTTATATTATTACTAATTACATATAAAAATAATTAAAAGAAAAAAAGAATTGTTTTCAATTTATTACTGATTTGATTTTTAATATGTTAAAAATGATCAATCCAAATTTTCATTTTTAACCTATTTTTTTGGTTCTTTAAAATTTATGAACAATTTTTGATAAAGATTTATGAAAGTTTATAGCAAAAAAAATTGAATATATTACCATAACTTTTAGCTCAATTACAAATTTAAAATTGACATCTAGGCCAGTCAACAAAGGAAAAATTTCTTAAAAAATTCCCAACCAAATTTTGTTTTATTAATAGTTGAATTAAAATATGTATAATGACATACTAATAGTCTTCATTGATTGAAATTGAGCTTTTTTTTACAGCCTCGCAAAAGTTCAAAAATATGAGCTTTTTTAATTTTCTCAAAAAATATTTAACTTACAAAAAAAAGTTTCGTACAAAAGTTGTTTAAAAGACAATTATAAACAAAAAAATTATCTTATATTTTTTCATTTAAACAAACATTTTTCGAGTTACATTACATTTAATGTGAGTACTAAAATTTATATTCCATTTTTTTCATATTACGGTTGCTTTTTATAGATCATAGCTGGCCTCACAATTTCATACTGAATTTAAAAACTATAATTAGTTTTTATAATTAGTTAGTATTTATTCATATATTATATTTTAAAATCAAAGAACTGCTAATCAGGATATAATTAAAGAAATAAGAGTTGATGTTCCTTTTGGAATAATCCACCAATTTCTCTAAATGAAACACTATCTACAGATTTGCATCGAAGCGTTTCTTATGATAGTGATTTTAATCACTGTCAGATATCATCTATACTTATCTCATCTATGCCACGTCTATACTGTGCCTCGACCCCACTGTGCTACCGTTTTTTTTTTTATTAATTTTGATTTCCGTTTTCACCATGAAAACAAAATAAAGTCCAAAATTTGTTCTCCATAATAAAGTATATTACATAAGGTTTAATTTAAGGTATATATAAAAATGTCAGTATTTCCGGAACACTTTCAAAAGTTGAAAAAATTATTTTTTTGTGAAAAAATTGTCGTTTTGAATCCTCCCTGTGAGCAGGTAAAGTATCAGATTTATAAAAAAAATATATCAAATGATAGGTAAAAAAATCATGCATTTATAAAAAAAAATTATATTGATTTAGTCAATTTTAAAAAGTTATGGTAACTAAGTAAAAAATTTTTTAAAAAATTAACGATTTTTAAATTTGTAAATTTTTTTGGAGATTTCCCCCCGTTTCGGGGTACGAGGGAAATTTTTTAATTTTTGAGGGTAATGTCTTTAACTAGTTACGATTTGTGATCTTTTGACGTTCGTTGAAAGAAATCGGTTCTGAAAGAGCTGAAAAAAAGTGGTAACAGACACAAATAAAGAAAAAAACACATAATAAAATTAATAACTTCTCAGCTTTGCATCAAAGCTAAAAAAACAAGAATAATTTATTACAAGATTTTTGAAAATTTATTGCAATAATAAAATTAGCAAATATAAAGAAAAATGTTTAATTAAACTACAATATAAAAAAAATATGTAAATTAACATTTTGACCACAAATTTTTGACCTAACATTTTTTCTAAGAAGTAGCGTATTACAGTTCTTTTAATAACATTAAAAAAAATAAATACAACAAAAATAAAAATTCTTGAACACGTTGAATTGAAGATCAATTTTTTCAGTTACATTTTCTATTAAAATTAATTGCCTAATTATACATATCATCTTAGGAAAAAGCTTAAATTATTAAATTTTTGTCATAAGCATAAAATCATTATAAACTGAGTGCCACGCTTTATTTTATGATTCGTTAAATGGTTGATACCTGAATGTCAAATAATATGAAGTAATATGTAAAATATCTCGAAGTAACTATAGTCACATATTATTTATGTTCAATTAAATTGTCTAATAGATAAAAGTCTAATAGATTTTTCATCCTTATTTTAAGTTTTATTAGAATTTTATTTAGATTTTTATGTTCTGAAATGATCCCAAAAAACTATTGCTGGGGTAATTTTATGTTAAGTATATTTAAATGTTTAATATAAATGAAAAAATAAACAGTATTTAAATAAATAGTATCCTAAATTTAAAAAAATGAATATATGTTTATAATTGTTAGTTAAGTATATTACTATTACTATTAGTAACTTTAATCATTTTATGAATAGTATTGAAAACCGAATATTCACACAAATACTGTTACATAGTATCACAGAACAATTGTCTGTGCACGGCCATATACATCTATATGGTTCTATCACAGACTATATGAAAACAGATAGTTCACTTAGCCGAGAACAATAGAAAAAAAAATCAAGCTCTCTGATTGGGCAGAAGACAAAGCAGTAGAGACTGTTGTACAATTTCATATTATTGCGCAAATATTTTACAATAATATTGTACAATTCCTCTATCAGTTACAAAAATTATCAATGATATTGGAATTAGTGACACTATTGCATTTTAAATACTTGAACGATAATTAATTATAACTGTTCGCATACTTATTTTGTTTAAATAACGTTTAGTCTTAATAAAAATGTTTTTTTTTTTTTAATATTGTCTGACATTATGAATATTGTGTTTAATTTGTATAAAAGTTGACATTTTGTGTAGTTTATTATTTCATAAATTTTTTGTCAACGTTTAGTTAGTTTTACCTATAATATATGAAGCTGTAATTTTTGGTAAAACTGTTAATAGTATTATATTTTTTTAAAATTTGAATTATTTTAGATATAATAAATAATAATATAAATTATATAATAAATTTTATATTTTTATTATTATTATTATTGTTAGCCATTTTTGGCCAAATTGTAGCCATTTTCACCGTGAAGACAAAATAAAGTCCGAAATTTTTTTTTCCCAAAATAAAGTATATTACATTAGCTTTAATTTAATATATATATATAAGCGTCAGTATTTCCGGAACACTTTCAAAAGTTAAGTTGAAAAAGTTAATTTTTTGTGAAAAAGTTGTCATTTTGAATTCCCCACTGTGGGCTGGTAAAGGGTTAAATTTATAAAAAAAATATACCAAATGATAGGTAAAGACATCAAATATCTATATAAAATTTTCATTTTTGAAAAAGTTATGGTAGTGTTAAGAAAAAAATGTCAAAAATTACTGATTTTTAAAATTGTAATTATTTTGGAGATATCTCTCACTTATGAGGAATGAAGGAAAATTTTTCAATTTTTGAGGGTAACGTCTTCGACTAGATACGATTTGTGATATTATGACGTATCATTGAAAGAAATCGGTTCGGTGAGAGCTGAAAAAAACAAGGTAACAGACACACAAAAAATAAATAAATTAAAGAAACACACATCATAGTAAAATTAATACCTTCTCAGCTTTGCATCGAAGATAAAAAATACTGACCACTAAATATTGTAGGTACTGCATCATGACCAGCCGATTTTTTGTAGTCTTTTTCAAAAACATTTTATCGTCAAAATGATCCGCGCAAACTACTAGATTATTTTTTTTTGGATAAAGTCTCTGCCAAATGATTAGTTTGACAATTATTCATCCATAGTTTCAAACGATCGTTTTCTTTAGGATAAGAAAAAAAGCTTTTATCCTTGAAGGAATATGTACTTGGACAAAACTTTACTGAGCATCGCATACTGGTGAGGTAGTGAGATATTTTGAAAGAAAGCACCAAATATAACACGAAATAAGATACATGTGATCATTGACAACATTAACAATAACAATTGTTACTGCTCAAGTCAAATTTAAGTAGTTAATAATTTACATTATAAAAACTGATAATTATTTAATTTTCATGACTAATTTAGCAATTTTGAGTCATAAATAAGGGATTATGGGTTTAATACCTTAATTTAATGATGTATTAAAATAATTTATGTCAATAATTATGTTTATATACGGAATTTCATAATATTTATGCTACAGCAGATTTAATAATGAAATAAATTAAAAGAATTTTTGCGCTCATATATATGGTTGCACTGATTTCACTTCTCCAATCAAAAAACCGTTTTGTTATCGGGCCAAGTGAACTATCTGTTTTCATATAGTCTGTGGTTCTATGATAATGTGTGCTCTTTATCAGATTTTTATAGAAATTGATAATCATATTTCTACATTTGTAATTTTTTTTATGTTAATGTAATGTTTAATGTTAAATAGATCAATTAATTAATAAGTGAAAAATATTTCAATTGACATTTTTCTTCGTCTTATAATTATACCATAAAATTAGGTATAAAGGTGTGTATTTTACAAATTGAATTAAACTTTATAACAAGAATATAGATTAAACTATTTTATTAAATTATTTTATATGTATATTGTAATACAAAATGTTTTTATAAACAAGCACTCTAAGTACCCATCTACAGCAAAAAATTTATCGAAAGAACTTTTTTCCTTATCAATGTAATGTTCAGTTTATTGATTTGGTTATAAATATCGTATTTATTTTCTGTTTTAGTAAATTCGTTATGAATATTCAGTTTATCATATTTAAATATACTTAAAGTTAAACCTCTAAATATGTCCATAATTATTGACTACTTAATTAATCAACATTTTTAATTGTAGCAATTATCCACAAGCCAATAAAAGGTATGAACATGTGAATATACCTCTAAACAAAATCTTGTTAGCTAACATTTTTGTAGTTGTAAATTCAATATTATTTTTAGCTGATGTAAAATTTATCTTATAGAAAGTTTGCATTAGCAAATTTCTTAACCAATTTCCTATAATCATTTTCATAGAATTTCTTGTCTTTATATGATTGAAAAATAAAACAAATTTTTAATATATATTTTTTTTTTAGTTTCAAAATGATAACACCCAATTTTGAATTAAGCCAAACATATGATCATTTGATAGTTAAAATTAAAGCTAGATTTGCTAATGTAGCCAATACTGAAACAGACATCAATGAAGATCAATTTATATTTTATTCTTCACCTTACTATTTACGTCTACATTTACCTGGAGAAATTGTTGAAAATGATTCTTCAACAGGTTCTTATGATTGGGATTCTTATACTTTTACTTTTAAATTAAGTAAAGTAAATCCTGGAAAAATTTTTCCAGATTTAAATCTTATCAACAAATTTCTTATTCCAAAAAAAAAATTAACAACTGGTACATCTATTGAAATAATAGGAGAATGTTCTAATAATGAAACGGATGATGATATAAATTGTGATTTTTTTCAAAAACCTCTGTCTGACGATAACAATAGTAGTATGAAGTATGGATTTGCAAATCAAACAGAAAATGCATTTAGATATTTTAATGATGAATTTTTTGAAATCATTGAATTAAAAAACCCTGATGAAGTAAGTTTCAAAAATAGAAAGTCATTGCAGTTTAAAAAAGAATTATCTGATTTTTCTGAAGATCATTATTTAGCTGATTTAATGACAGAACCTGATGAATTAAAAGAAATCATGAATTTTCAACCATTTTGGCTAGAAAATCTTTTAACTTTGGCTGAATCTGAAAAAAGTATACTTACACAATTTGGCAATAAAGAGTATTTACTTAATCAAGAAGATAAAAAATCAGCTATTTTATCCTTAGTTGATATTATTTATGCATACTGTTACAATTGTCGTGTGTTCATGGGTGAAGAAAGTTGTGAGTCAAGCTGGTTAATCAATAAATTATCATCAACTCTGTCATGGTTCAGAAGTTTTGATACATTTAATGAAACAATTATTTCTTGTTTGAGACGTAGTTTATGTTATCCTTTATATAGAAATTGGGAATTGAGTAATTTAGTTTTAACAGATGTTCAAAAAGTTTTTGAAAATGGTTATGTATGCTTACTGAAATGCTTATTAAATATTTACAAAATGTTTAATTCTGATGAACCTAGATATATTTTAAATCAATTATACATTAAAGATTATTGTATATGGATTCAACAGTTAAATAGCAAACACTTTAAATACATTACCAAATTATTTGATGAACAAAATATTTTTAAACAATATTTAGAACTTGATTTGGATTTGTTGGAAATGGCAGCTCTGAGTGTACTAGAAGATAAGAAAATAATAGAAGAAACTTTAAAAAATAATGATCATAGTATAGAAGCCAAGCTGGAAAAATTGCAAATTTCAAGTTCAGAAAGTAACTTAGATTCTGATGATTATAGCAGTGATGAAACGGAATAGTTATAAGTCTTATACAATGTATAAATTGTATAATGTATTACGCATCAATAAACATTGTAAAAAAGCATAAATAATTTGTGGTTGAAGACAAAATATAAATTCTTGCCATGTCAAGATCATCATACAGACATTGAAATTTTTTTTTTTTTTTTTTTTTTAACAATTTTATGTTTAACTTTTATAGAATTAAATTTTTTTTATAAATTTATTGACAAATAATATAATTGTTATTTGTAATAATAAAAAATGATTTATTTTCTCATATAAAACCTACAAATATTATAATGAATGATTTAATTGTTTAAACTTTTGTGTTTTACTTTTTAATAGTAATTTAAATACAAAGGAGTTAATGTGTAATATTTATTTTCATTAAAGATAAGTTTAATTGGTAATGTTAAGCAAACCAAAAATAGAAAATTAAAATAAAATTTTATTATTACATAGCACTCCACTTCATAATGAGAAATGAGCGAAATTATTTAACTATATTTAAATTAATTCTGTTAGTTTGAAACATTAGGTGAAATTGTAGTTAATGTAAATTTATCATGATATTAAACTTTGCAGATTTCTGGTGAATAAACCATAAAAGAGTTCTGAAATTTCACTGCACTCCTACTAGTCAAGACAGTTTTAATAAGACTATACAACAAAATTGGTCTCGCAATTTTGGAAAATGTGTGCTAATGAAATGTCTGACTAAAAATTAATTACTTTTTTAATTTTACATCTACTAGGCAAGCACTTTTTAATAAGCTATCGACTATAATTTTCTAGGTTTCATACTTTGAGAGAAAACTTGATTTTAAAACGTCCACATCAATTTTTTTTGGGATTAAAATCATTAGGACTTCTAGGCATTATATTCAATCTTCTAATCAATAGCTCACATTAAAACTTCTCTAATTATCCTAAAAGAAATCTACTTTCTAGCAGAAAAGTGTAAAACGTACTCGGGAATCAATCCCAAAGCAAACTGGAAAAGTGTAAGATCGAAATTAAGCCAAATTCATTTGCTAACCCAATAATCGAACTTTTCAGAACAAAAATAGATAACAAGTATAGAACAAAAGTTAAAGTTGAAGTACAGGAAAACAAGCGCAATGCTGAACCAAGATCTATCTTTGCGAGGAATTTTACTGATATTAGATAACAACTGTAATTCTGGAAAAGAATTTATGAAACATAGTGGTCTTAAAGATTATGTCTCCCAAAATTCTACTCAGACATCATAGACAGCAACAAACTCCCAATATATTTCAAGAAAACTAAAATTTTAGCTATACTTAAACTAGGCAAACCTAGCAATGAAGTACAAAGCTATCGACCAATTGTTCGGCTCAGTGTCGGTTATAAGCTCCTTGTACGCCTTATCTAAAATCGCAGTTCAGACACAATAAAATCTATCAACCCTAAAGAACAGCGGGTTTTAGAGCAAAAGAGTTTGCTGTGATCAGTTTTTTGCATGAACAACCCGAATTGAGAATGGATTTGAAAAACCGCTATCAACAATAGCACTCACACTATCGTTTGTTGAGTATTGCTCACCAGTATGGCTACAAAGTGCCTACACAAATAAAGTAGAACTCAACTCTGATATGAGAATTAATCGTGTCGATTAAATCTACTTCCACAGCATGGCTACCTACACTTAGTAACTTAAGTCTACCTCATCTACATCGATATAACTCACTAATCCGAGAGTTGACTAAATGATTTTCGAATACTCTGCTCCCAATACATAATGAATTAAATACTGGTCTTAACGCAAGGCTAAAATTTAGGAAACCTACCTTGAGGCTTCCCCAAAAATTAATATCAGAAAAATTCAATATAAATCTCTAACATGTGAAAGAGGGCCACCACTCTCTGTAGCATATTAAGTTCGGAAAATAGAACAATATAAAACGGGTCGTTATTTTTTTTTAATCTTAACGGTTTTTAATGAATGAATGTATTGCCATGCAATTTATGTATTAAATTCATTTAGTGGCATTAACTAAACATAATATGTATATATATATATATATTATAATCGCACTACATTAGTGAATATATTTATATTAATTTGATCACATTACATTGTAAAACGATGTGCAAAAAAGATGGAAATTAAAATTTGTGTAATAGCAAGGAAAGTCTAAATTTTTTAGAAAATATTTTTTTGATAATTTTGAATATGATTTTTTGTGTAATTCAGTACAAAAACGAATACTATATTCCTATTATTTGAGAAAATGTTTAATTTATAAAAAGCCTTCTAACATTTTCATGGAAACATTTTTAGAAAATTACTCCTGAAAAATGTATCAAATTGAACTTGCCTGGTTGTTGAGCTGACTCCTTCAATTTCTGTTAAAATCTATAATTTGTATTATAGAAGTATTGTTATAGAAATTTTTTACTAATTAGTGTCTTTAGTGAGGGACCCAGTCCTTCTTCATTTTTCGAGTCCCTTAATTAGTGATGGGCATAATCGAGATTATTCGATTATAATAAAAATAATGAAATAATTCAATTATGGGTAAATTAATCGTATTTTCTCTCTATCTCGAAATGATTGGAATTGTCGTTTGCCGTCTTTCAACTGATAAATATTTCTACTAATTTCGTAATTGAATTAGTATATTTTAAATTTTAATAATAGTATACACAGTACACAGTATTATTAACTTCGTCCTAAACACTTTTTCACCTGTTTCACTTACTGGTTATAAATTTATTATAACATTTAAGCAGGTGCTTGGCGATCGATTCCTTATTTAAATTTTATTTTAAGGGCTTATGAGTGTTTAATGATTGTTATTTATATTTTGCCATTTTTACATTAAAACTTTGTTTTTATGGTGCAACCGCACTCCCACCTCCCAATGACACCCCTGGTATAATGTATATAAATTTGTAAAATATTATTATTGTATTTTAAATACATAAATAAGTATATTTTATTTATAATAGGTGTATTTTAAACTAGTAGATTAGGTACTTATTTAAAATTAAAGACATTAATTATTAAAAATTTATATAAATATACATATATATATATATATATATATATCTTACGTTTTTTTTAAGACATGCAGTAATAGCCAAGTATTAATACGTTTAGTGTAAATATATTTTATAATTAGTATAAATCTATTTAATGTTATCCAAATATACATAAAATCAGTAAAAATGATCCATTATTTTTATCAAACGAACAAACGATTTTAATTTCATATAAATATCAAGAGATTTCTTCGATTATGGAAATGTCTCAATTACTAATAATTCGATTATACCCATTACTACTTTTAAATACGATTATAGATAAGTTTAAACTATAAACGAAGTTCAGATTATAATATGTTTTTTTAACAAACCGTGGTTATTATATGATAAGTACTACGATAACTATTATCATTACACGTTCAAATTAGTTTTTTATATTTATATTTTAATAAAATATTTTTTCTTAGTTTTTCTTGCTGAAAAACGTAAGTATGGATTCCAATGACAGCGAAGAGGATCGAAAAGAACGTGATAAATTTGCAGAAAGGTTAAAAAGAAAAGACAAAGATAGAACAAGAAATATTGCAATTCCTCGATCAGGTTGTTTTCTTTTATGAAATAAAAAACTTATTTTAAATTTATAGCAATGTTATTCCTTAATGAAAATGTTAAATTATTGTTATTATTATTTTTTTTATAATCAAAAGATAAAATAATATTTTAATAGCATACTTAATAATTAATTTACTCTACACTATTTGCATTCTTTCTCACAATAATTAAAAAATATGTTAATATCATGAATGAATTTTTTTAGACAAGAAAGCTTATGAAGAAGCTGCAAAACGGTTAAAGTTGGAAAATGATAGAGAAAAAGAAACAGTCATACCAAGGTTACGAATTGAATCACGACGAAAATATCTTGAAAAGAGAAAAGAAGATAAAGTTACTGAGCTTGAAGCAGACATATTAGATGATGAATATCTATTTGATGCGGAAGAGTAAGTATTCAAAATATTTTATCTTTTTTTCTCATATCCAATTCTTTAATATGTTAACAAAAAAATATTTAACAATTTTGTATTGATAATTAAGACTGGAATATTAACAATAATTAGTTAAACTAATAGCTACATAATATATGCAAAATATTTTAAGGACAAGATTATGTTCTTATGAGAACATATGGAATAATTTTGTATATTTGTAATGAATTTCTAATAGCAGTTGAGTAAATTTAAAATGTGTAAATTCATGAAAAAATTACTATTTATCAAAAAAAATAAGGAGGTAGTAATAATAATAAATCACACTGTATGTATAAATAATATGCCTAAGAATTTTTTTAATTTACTTATTTTGTTTTTCACCTAAATTTTCAAATAGTTTCTCAGTTAAAAATTAAATAACTACGAAGGTTTAAACAATATTCTAAATGAATTAAAATTTATAATTGGACTTAACAATTTTTATTATTGTCAATAATTAAGTATATTTGTATCAAAAGTATATTTACCTTTTTAATTTGATCAAATCATTAAAAATGTTAATTAGTATACATTTTATTATAATTAAGAATTATTTTAGTTTGACTGAGCGAGAACTTATTGAACGTGAGCATAAAAAAAAGTTACTAATACTTGCCAAAGAACATGAAAAAGCAAGAGAGCTCGAAAAAATTCAGCGTTATCATATGCCACAAGATCTTAATGATGATCAAATGCAATATGAAGTTGAAGTTGATAAAGCCCCTACTACAGAACAACAAAAATGGGAAGAAGAGCAAATGTCTTCAGCTGTTTATAGGTTTGGTGCCAAACGTGAAGAAAAGGAACAATATGAACTATTACTTGATAATCAAATAGAATTTATACAAACTGCCAATATACCAGGCACTCATGAAAAGGTACTATTTATATTAACAGATTAATTATTATGAATATGTTAAAGCTTTCATGGATTGTCTTGTTGCTTGAAGTGCTTAAGGATTTATCCATGTTTGTAGTTAAGTCTGAAATGTTAGAACTCAACTACAAACATTGATAAATCCTTAAGCTTTTTAAGCAAGATTAATTATTATTGTTTAGTTAATTATAATAAATGTGGATAATTCTAGTTTGAACCAGAAATCACTGAAAAACAACGTAAAAGATTAAATATTGAAGAGACACAAAAGAGTTTACCTATTTATAGATTTAAAAAAGATTTAATTCAAGCTATTAATAATAATCAAGTAATTATTATTTAACAAGATTTAATACTATTTTTAATTATTTTTATTTAAAGATACTTATAGTAGAAGGTGAAACTGGTTCAGGAAAAACAACACAAATTCCTCAATATTTATATGAAGCTGGTTATACTAAGGATAATAAAAAAATTGGATGTACACAACCAAGAAGGGTTGCTGCTATGTCTGTTGCTTCTCGTGTAGCTGAAGAAATGTCTGTTAAACTTGGAAATGAAGTAATATTTATCAATTGTTATATCTTTTTTGCAAAGCTGGAATATACTTTAATGATTGGTCCACTCTTTCTTATTTAATATTTTCAACTAAACACAGCATGTAGCAAATTATGTTATAAAATATATTAAACCCAATTTTATTTAGTCATGAATAAAAATAATGTTTGTAATATAATGTATAAAAAATTAATTAAAGTAGTTAAAAAATAATTAAATCCCACATCATTAAATGATGATGTTTTAAGAATAAAATTGTTCATTTTTAAAATATTCTGAAATTTCTATTACATTACAATAGATAAGAAATGTTTGAAGTGATTAAATAAAATATTACAGGTTGGTTATAGTATACGTTTTGAAGACTGCACATCAGAACGAACTGTTATAAAATATATGACTGATGGTACATTACATAGGGAATTTTTATCAGAACCAGATTTACAGTCTTATAGTGTTATGATAGTTGATGAAGCTCATGAAAGAACTCTTCATACTGATATACTTTTTGGATTAGTTAAAGATGTAATAAGATTTAGGTCTGATTTGAAACTTCTGATTTCAAGTGCCACACTAGATGCTCAGAAGTTTTCTGAATTTTTTGATGATGCTCCTATTTATAGAATACCTGGTAAATTCAATTATTTTGTTATTAAAAAAAAAAATTAATATTTATTATGATTTCTAGGAAGAAGATTTCCAGTAGATATTTATTATACTAAAGCACCTGAGGCTGACTACATTGATGCTTGTGTTGTATGTATACTTCAAATACATGCAACTCAACCTTTAGGAGACATCCTTGTGTTTTTAACTGGCCAAGAAGAAATTGAAACTTGTCATGAACTTTTACAAGAACGTGTTCGTAGACTTGGCTCGCAAATTAAAGAACTCATTATTCTTCCAGTTTATAGTAATTTACCTACTGATATGCAAGCAAAAATTTTTGAGCCTACACCTTCTAATGCTAGAAAAGTATGTTATAAATATACATGTATATGCATATATATATATATATATATATAGGGTAATTTATTAAAGATAAGACAATCATTTCCTTGGTTACAATTGGAAATTTTTAATTTTTTTTTTTTTCATACCATCTAGGGAAAAAACCTTAACATTAATGCTTTTTAATGATAACCCCAATATTTACCTTAATAAAACGAGAGATAAAGAATTTACAAACCATTTTGTTCTTATTATTTTTTTTATTTGATCAACAGTTTGTTTTTTTTTAAATATTTGGATTTAAAATAGAAAATAATCACCAAATTTTGTTTTTGTATTACCGGAGACAACAATAATCTGTTTCAATGGACAATAAATTATTTTTATGGTAGTGATCAAAAAATTGTTCAACAATTTATGTAAACTTGTATGGAATATAATAGTGTGCGTCTAGTAATATTCATTAATGACTTCTGTATACAAAACAGTAGAATAAAAATAGATTTAGTTTAAAAATATACTGAAACAGAAAAACAGTTTATTGAATAATACAAATTATAAGAAAAACATTGTACATTTTTAGCTTCGATGCGAAGCTCAGAAGGTATTGATTTTACTATGATGTGTTTTTTTTTTATTTTTTACATTTTTTACTTTAAAATGCTATAACTTTTTAAAAAATGTATGGATCAATACAATTTTTTCATGAGAAATAGTATTTATATACATATTTCATTCGACATACTTTTTTTTTAAATCAAACTATTTCCTTATATATAAGGAGGGTTCAAATCTGAAAAATGCATATAGAAAGTAGAACTTTTTCAACTTAACTTTTGAAAGTGTTCAGGAAGGTCTGACACTTATATATATGTATTTTAAATTAAAGGTAATGTAATATACTTTATTATGGAAAAAAAAATTTGATTTCTGGACTTGTTGCTTGAAGTGCTTGAGGATATATCCATGTGTGCAGTTGAGTCCGAAACATCAGAATTCAACTGCAAACATGGATATATCCTCAAGCACTTCAAGCAAAAAGACAATCCATGAAAGCTTTGACACATTCTGGACTTGTCTTTGTGGAGAAAATAGACATCAAAGTTAATAAAAAAATACTATTTTTGTAAAATAATTCTTTTTTATATTTTTAACTTAATAATATTATAACTTTTTGGAAAATGATCAAATCAATATAATTTTTTTTATATATATATGCTTGATGTCAACCTATCATTTGGTATATTTTTTTTATTCATTTAAGTCTTTACCTGCTCACGGGGGGTATTTAAAATACTATTTTTGAGTGAAAATTCTCGATTTTATAATTTACATTTTTTACTTTATAATGCTATGACTTATTAAAAAGTGTATGGATCAACACAATTTTTTTATGCGAAATAATATTTTTTAATAATCCCTTTTTCATTCGACATACTTTATCTTAATCTGGATATTAATAAGGAAATAGCAGATCATGTAGCTTTTGGAATAATCCACCAATTTTTTAAAATTAAACACTATCTAAAGATTTTCATCAAAGTGTTTTTTTTTTATAGTGATTTTAATCACTGTCAGATATCATTATACTTGATCCAACTATGCCATGTCACCACTGTGCCGCGACCCCCCTGTGCTGGGTTGGGTTTTTTTTTTTTAATATATAATTAAGATAAAAATAGGGATTCTCATCAAAAAAAATAATGTTAAGGTTTTTTTTCCGTGAAGACATTAAAAAAAATTATTCTATTACATACAATGGTAGAGTTTTGGATCAAATAATATTTACTATTACAAAAATTAAAATTTTTCAATAATATCTGGGAAAATGAGTCAGTTGCAAAAATGTCAATGTTTACTTATAAATCTAACTAAATATTAAAAAAAAAAATGTCTTTATATTCATAATTATTTCTTTGTCCACTGTTTAGATTATTTTTATGTCTGTCTTCGATTTTATAATTGTTGTTACACTAACAAATGTTAAATAATTATAAAAACTTTTATAATACTTAAACATATTTTGCAAACATTTTTAAAGTATGGTTCAAATTAGGCTATAGTTAGCAGAAAATTGTGGAAAACCTCCACTTTAAGCTATGGATTAACTTATTGTGATCACAAAATTAACATAGACAATCAATGAACATTTGACTGTAATTGGTGAAGTTACTATAAAACTGCTGTTAAATTGGTGATAGATATCTAATCTATCATGTTGATTTAGTAATATTAACATGAAAATAGTATAAATAAAAAAACACTTTATAGTAAAATTAACATCTTCTCAGTTTTGCATTGAAGCTAAAATACACTAAACAATGTATTAATTATATATTATTTAAATTGAAATTGAAATTACTTATTAAAATTCTCATATTACGTAAAATTGTTATACGTAAATTCAATATTTTTTCCGTGTTTAGGTTGTTTTAGCTACTAATATTGCAGAAACATCACTTACAATTGATAACATAATATATGTAATTGATCCAGGATTTTGTAAACAAAATAATTTCAATTCTCGTACTGGCATGGAATCTCTTATTGTAGTTCCTATATCTAAAGTAAGTTTAAATTTATAAACATATTTTGTTTGAGTAGTGCATAATAGGGGTAAGTGAAATTTTCAGCAAAAATAAGTTAAGCTATAAATTAAATATAAAATGATACAAAAATAATAAATATTTGTTTTTTAAAATATTACATGGTAATCAATTGAATGTGTTGAATTAACCTTAGTCCTTATGATGTTAAAAACATTAAAATGAAATACTAGAATATATCTTAAGGCTGCACTTTTTTATACAACATCATGAAAGTAATTGTTAAATTTGATCCATGATAAAAAACATTGAAATTTTATATCTTATATCTATATATATTGTGTAACATGAAGTTAAAATAAAACATTTATTTTACTAAAATAGAATTTTTTTTAGATTTATGAGATAAAGTCATTTTTGATATAATTATAATTTGTTTTTAAAAGGTATATTTTTGTAGCTTTTAAATACTTTTTGTATTTTTCAATGATTTATTTTTAAAATTAAAGTAAATTAATTATTAAAATATATATCTAAATTAATTATTTATCAATAATTAATTTAGATATATATTTTTTGGTGTCATTATCATGTAATATATGATAATAGTTATAGTATATTATACTATAACTTATATCATTATATTTTAATTTAAGTTAAATAAAATAATAATTATTATTACTAGGTTACTATTATTCAAACAATTATTTTATTTCTACTCTACTTGATAAACACTTACCATTTATTAACTAATTTAGATGAGCTTATAATTAAATTGTTTTAACTTTTCTTTATTTTCTTCCTAGGCAAGTGCCAATCAAAGAGCTGGTAGAGCTGGTCGAGTTGCTGCTGGTAAATGTTTTCGTCTGTATACCTCATGGGCTTACAAAAACGAACTTGAAGATAATACTGTGCCAGAAATTCAAAGGATTAATCTAGGAAATGCTGTATTAATGTTAAAAGCACTTGGAATCAATGATTTAATACATTTTGACTTTCTTGATCCACCACCTCATGAAACATTAGTTAGTATACTTAGATTTTATTTATAAAAATTATTTACTAATTAAATTATTTTTAAGGTACTTGCACTAGAACAACTTTATGCACTAGGTGCATTAAATCATAAAGGAGAGTTGACTAAATTAGGTCGACGTATGGCTGAATTTCCATTAGATCCAATGATGGCTAAAATGCTATTAGCTTCAGAAAAGTATATATATATTTTAAAAATTAAGACTCATTGCTAAATTTTGCTTAACACAGTGGTGTTTCGGGTCTAAGTGGTCTTTTTTTATTCAATCATTAAGTTTTTTAATATCAATCAGCTAATTATAATGATTAAATTTATGTATCCTGGGCAAACTTTTAGTACTGTAGTTTTCATTGCCTTCTATAATTGAATATATACTGTTTTCCGCCCTTGAAATTGACATGTGGTAACTCATACCAAAACTATTAGTAAATGGAGTTTAACTTCAAAATTGATAGCATCTGAAGTAACCACAGCACCACACTACATTCCTCCAGGTAATCTAAGCACCTCAAAGTTTATTTTTGAAAATAAAAAAAACTATTCTTTATTCTCAAAAGGCACAATAGCTCTATCTTTGATTACTTGTTTCTAAAATTTACAAACATTTATTGAAGTGTAACTTTTTATAGTACAACACAAAAATTAATTTGATGTAATGAATTTTTGGCACTAAGATCACTTACTTCTGCTATGCCTCATATATAACTTTTAAATATTCAATAAAATTAAAAAAAAAAACCCAGCACAGTGGGGTGGCGGCACAGTGGGGTCGTGGCATAGTTGGGTCCAGTATAGATGATATCTGACAGTGATTAATATCACTATCATCAAAAACGCTTCGATGCAAATCTGTAGATAGTGTTTAATTTAAAAAAAAAATTTGTTAAAATAACATATTTTTGAATATGGTAGCCATTTGCGCATAGAAGATAGGTCGTCGGGAAAAAATTTTTTTTTTTCATTTTATAGTACATAAAATAAGCTTTAATTTGATATATGTTTAAAGGACGCAGTATTTCCGGAACATTTTCAAAAATTAATTTGAAAAAGTTATTTTTTGTAAAAATGTTACTATTTTAAATCCCCCCAGTGAGCAGAATAAGTGTTAGATTTTCAAAAAAAAATTATATCAAGTGAGAAGGAAATATCTAAGGTTACAATACAAAAAAATATTATTTTTATTTGTTCATTTTTGAAAAAGTTATGGCAGTTTTAAGTACAAAAAACATCCCGATAAAATGGTAATTTTTATCGCAAACATTACATTTTTTTTATTAATTTTCGACAGCCATTTGCACATAGAAGATAAGATGTCGGGACAAATTTTTTTTTTTCACTTGATAGTATATAACATAACCTTTGATTTGATATATGTTTAAAGGACGCAGTATTTCCGGAACATTTTCAAAAGTTCAGTTGAAAAAGATCTATGTTTTTTACAATATTTTAAGTTTTGAACGCCCCCTATATAAGGGGAAATTGTCCAATTTTAATAAAAAGTATGTCAAATGAAAGATGTACTTATAATGTATTTAGAAAAAAAAAATTTGTGCTGATATATACATTTTTCAAAAAGTTATAGCATTTTTAAGTTGAAAATTTAAAATCGAAAATCGAAAATTTTAACACAAAAATAGTGTTTTTTTAACTACGGCAGCCGTTTAAATGTAGAAAAAAAAGTGTCGGGACAAATTTTTTTTTTTCATTTTGTAGTACATAAAATAAGCTTTAATTTGATATATGTTTAAAGGACGCAGTATTTCCGGAACATTTTCAAAAATTAAGTTGAAAAAATTAATTTTTGTAAAAAAGTTGCCATTTTAAATCCCCCCCAATGAGCAGGTTAAGTGATAGATTTTCAAAAAAATGATATCAAATGAAAGATAAATATCTAAGGTTATAGTATAAAAAAAAATTATGTAGATTTGTTGATTTTTCAAAAAGTTATGGAAGTTTTAAGAAAAAAAAGTGAAAAAATTTCGAAAATTAGCGATTTTTAAATTTGTAATTTTTTTGGATATTTCCCCCATTTGCGGGGAACGAGGGAATTTTTTTCAATTTTTAAGGGTAATGTCTTCAACTAGATACGATTTGTGATCTTTTGANTTTTAAGGGCAATGTCTTCAACTAGATACGATTTATGATATTTTGACGTATGGTTGAAATAATTTGGTTCGGTTAGAGTTGAGAAAAAGTGGCAACAGACATAAAAACAAAAAAACACATCATAGTTTACTATAAATTAATACCTTTTCAGNACACATCATAGTAAAATTAATACCTTCACAGCTTCGCATCGAAGCTAAAAAATTATATTTATTCTACTGATATGAAAAATATTGATATGTAAAATCAGCATAATATTAATTTATAAATAAAATGATCAACGAATAAGTTATAGCATAAATTTTTAGGTTCCATTGAGTCATGAAAATTTTAAAATTAAAAGTTAAGTTAATAATTTCTATAAAGTATATTAATTTAAAGTCTAGGTATTTTATTGAGGTTTAATAAATCTTTTGCCATTTAAATAACTAGACAATTTAATTATCAAAACGAACTACAATAGACCTAGTAAAGTATAAAATCCGCTTAATATAATATAAAATAACTGACGTTTTTCTAAATTAACTACTACTTTAAAATGTACAGTGTTAATAAATTTAATTACTTTTTTGTCAATATTGATAAAAATATATCTGATAAAACTAAAAAATATATATTTATTTATAGCAACATAATTCAATTGCCTAATTTATCTGTTATTAAAGATTACTTATTAATAAACATTAAATTACATTTATGTAGTGAATAAAAATATTACCATAAAATTGTAATCTATAAAATTTAATATCAAAAATATTGAATTTTAACAATTTTCATAGTAAAATTAATACCTTCTCAGATTTGCATGCAAGCTAAAATTGGGAATATTTAATAAATTATGTAATAATTATTTCTTTTGAAAAATTGTACTTTTTTGAGGGCAGAAGATATTGGATGATTTTAAGTAGTTTTAAATTAAAAAATGTATAAATGTTATTGCATACAAGATTTGTATTTAAATTAATTTTGTTTTGTTTTTTTAGGTATAATTGTTCTGAAGAAATAGCAACAATAGCTGCAATGTTAAGTGTAAATAGTGCTATATTTTATAGGCCGAAGGATAAGCTTATTTTAGCAGATACTGCCCGTAAAAGTTTTTATTCTAAAGGAGGTGATCATTTAGCTTTACTAAATATTTACAACCAATGGGCTAATACTGATTTTAGTACTAATTGGTGTTATGAAAATTATATACAACACAGATCAATGAGACGAGCTCGGGATGTCAGAGATCAATTAGTGGGTCTCATGCAACGAGTTGAAATGGAATTAGTTTCAAATCCTACTGAATGTGTTAATATACGTAAAGTATGATTGTATAACATTTTTTCTAATGTAAATTTTAATTAATTCTAAACTTTTTAAAGGCAATCACTGCAGGCTATTTTTATCATATTGCCAGACTATCTAAAGGTGGACATTATCGTACTGTAAAGCACAACCAGACTGTTATGATACATCCAAATAGTAGTTTATTCGAAGATTTACCACGATGGGTTTTATATCATGAACTTGTATTTACTACTAAAGAATTCATGCGCCAAGTAACAGAGATTGAAAGTAAATGGTTACTTGAAGTGGCACCTCATTACTATCAAGATAAAGAACTAGAAGATTCTACTAATAAACGGTTACCCAAAACTTTAGGAAAAACGAAATCAGAACTTGGAAATAATTAATACAATTAATATAAAAATAATTTAAAAAAAATTACATTTATTATTAAATGGTAACTTACAAAAGTATTGTTTTGACTTGGATGTATTTTTTTGTAAATAGATTATTTTGCATTTCAAAATTAATATGTATTTCAAAGCTTTTTCATAATTGTTCTCATTAAATCTTATACTCAATCGTTTTTATACAATTTATATGAAAAACAAAACATATATAAGTTTTATACATTTTTAGTTGATAATTGCCTATAAAACATGTAATGATTTATACATTTATGAACCACTACTCTGGAAGAATTTATTTTCATTTTAATATCTAGATGTGAAAAAAAGTAGTCAGAAAATGACTATTGACAAAAATAGCAGCACACATTTTCACTTCCTGTTGTAACTTTAAATTGTTGATAACTTCTGAAACAATGGTTCAAAAGTTGACTTTTGATTGGTAATTATTTTGTATTTAAAAGGTAGTTATATATGTTTTGCCATTAAAAAAATAAAATTGACAACCTTTTAAGTTATTGAGGATGATTCTAAAAAGTAATTATTAGCTGATAAATCAAGAAATATATATAATTAAAAGAAATCAAAATTTTTATTACAAAATTTTACTTATTTTGAGTAATCCAGTGGTTTACTAAAAAATTTTGTATTCTTGCTTTGGAAACAGTTTGTCAGTCTATGTGGGTTTCACTTCAAACAGATTAACCTAAAACCATGACACGGTCAAAGTGTCTTCAAACGGAGCACCAGCGCCAGACAACTAGGTCATCAGTACCGTTCGCCTCTGGTTTGCACCAACCTCGGGCACTCTGGTCGGGTCGTTGCCACTACGTATTATTGTATACGGAACCTACAGTACATCTCCTCACTAGGAAAGGCCAGATGGCGCCAAGGACGAGTCTAAGGACCTATCACTCAGCTGCATCACCTGAGGCTAGCATTCAGCCTTAAACCACAAAGTTACTCCAGTGACAGCCACCACTGATACCAAAGCGGCAAGCTGGTCTGATAACGAGTGACAGGACAGCAGACAATGACTAGGCCATCATCTGGGGCGCCCATGGTACAGATTTTAAACCTCCGTGAGGTTTTCGGCTATGCGTCATCAATTTGCATCTCAGCAATTGCTTACCCGCCATGATTTAGTGCACTCTTTCCTGGGCAAGCCAGGATATTGGTTGCTACCCTGGCAATATTATTAGCATTAAATGCATACCACATTAATAAATGCATTGATATTGTTCACTAGAAACAAAAAACTAAATAATATTAGTACTTGATTCAATAAATTAGTCATTTTTATATTTATTCTAATTGATAGATTAGTCCATATCATACCTAATTATTGAAAAAATAATTCACTATTAGAAAATATAAAAAATTATGAAGATAGATAAAATTACATGTGACTCTTCAATTATTCTATTATGTATATTAAAAAGTAATATTTCTGGAAGTACAGATATTTTAACAATTTTTTAATCTTTAATACTGAGAAAACAATATCAAGAATAAAAACAATAAAAATAATAAAGTAAAATATTATATTCAATTAATTATAATATAAAATTAATTTCATACCATAAGACATATCAATTTCAAAGTAATATCTTTGAATCGATAGCAAAAATAATTAATATGAACACTGCATTTTTACATTTTAAAAAAGTAAGCTACATTTCAAAAATATTTAATGTGTCATAAATTAAGGAAATCGCAGAAAATTATTAATTGTAAAAATTTATCTTATCTTAATTTGTCACCCAAAAATTTAATTATCTTAAAAAAAGGTCCAAAACTGATCAGAAAAAAGTTTACAGGGTCATAGTTAATAAATTCTAGAACATCTTTTTTAATTAAATATTATTTACATTTAATTTAATGTATATAAAAACATTCAGACTACTCAGTATTAAATAAAAAATATTTCTTCAGACAAAATATTCACATATTGACTTTTTGACTTGTGAACTATTATCACATAATATGAATAATGGTAGATTAAAGGAAAAAAGTTTATTCCAAACTTAATTTTAAATTAAGCCTATTCACAATTACTACATATGAAAATGTAACAACAATTAATTGTATTGTAATTTATTTACATAAAAACGCAATAACAGCACAATACATTTACATAAAGTCTATTCATTAGTCACTGATTCATTTTTATCTTTCTTCTTCTTCTTCTTTTTTTTCTAAAGAAAAAAATTAGTATTATAAATAAAATTTAACTGCAATTGTCAAAAACAAAAATTAAATATTATAATATTTAATTTCAATACTTTGAAATTTCATTCTAATTTTAAATTCAATTATTTATATATCAAATATTGTCATTGATTTTTTTTTTTGTGTTTTATGAACTCATTTTCTATATTTCATCCAATACATGTAATTATGTTTTTTTTTATAATATTCATAGCTACAAACCTTTTCTTCTACCACTCCTTCAGATACTATGGTTGTATCAGCAGCTACTTCTTCATGTTCGACATACTCCTTCTTAATTTTTTTTTCTTTTTTAACCTTAACTGGAGTATCAGCGTTTAATGGTGAACTTAATCTTTTTCTCTGTAACCAAAATAATTAGTTTGATAAGCCTAGTAAAATGGAGATAGAGTATTTTTTAGATAGTGTTAATTGAAATCTGATATTAATTACCATCTAATATCACATCATTTCAATGCGTTTTAGAAAAAAAAAAAAACATTCATCACACATATTAAAAATATAATAATTGTTGGGTTGGGTTTAATATATCCAATGTTATCTTTAAGGACAAGTCACCAAAACATATATAAAACATAAAGCATGAACATAAAAAACATTTTAGAACATATAGATGAAGATACATATGTAACTAAAAAAATCTAAAAAATAATTACCAAAAATGATTATTTTAGAAGAAATTGAGAGGCTAGTGTTAAAAAAATCATCCAGTACATATTTTTACATGTAAAAAACAAATTTTATACCTCTAAATGATTAAAGGGATAAAGCTTAAAAATTATTTTATAACAAATAAATAAAGATACTGAAAGTTGACGACTTGGGACACGAAATGGATTGTGGAGTCGCCACCCCATGGCTCCCTTGCAAAAGAAAAATCAGATCGCCAACCACTTAGGCGAGGGTCTTGATCATAAAAAAAGAAACACCCAGACCATAAGTGGATTTAAACAAAAAATAAATAATAAGTAAACCAAATATTATTAAATGAAATAATATACACTATGATGAAACAAAATATATATATATATACTAAAATTTAAAGTGTTGTTGTAGACTATAATATGCTGATACCTTGTAAATAAAACAAAATGTTTTGTTTGATATCAACAGTAATGGACATACTTTAGTATGTCGAAGACCGTTACCTTAAAACTATTATTTTATTTATTTTTTTGAATTATTAAAGATAAAAAAAATAAGATACACGTGAATATTAAAGATTTTTGTTGATTAAGAATATTATGGGAAAATGATTAAATTATGATAGTTAAGTTAATAATGGACAAAACCAGTTTTCTGATTACACGGTTGGATATAATGTACGCGCCCATTAGCAGAGCAAAACAGTAAATTTATCTATACCATATGAAATAATAATAGATATAAAATTCACATTTGAATACATACGTAACTAACATTATTAAAATTATTTTTTTTTATAACTTATTATTTTAAAAGAAGTTAAGTAGTTAGCGTTAAAAGAATCACTCTTTATTACATTAAACAAGCTTTAATTTAAAATTATTTAGAATTATTTTGGCACTGTGTTACTATGCAAAATATTACAACACACATTTTTAACATAAGTTAGTGAAATTTGTATATTAGATTTATGATTTTAATATATTATATATAATAATTCTGAAAAATTAAGATTATGCAGTTTTTCTTTTTTCATATTAAAATACATTGTTAGTTTTAATTTAATGTACGTTTAGAGAAGGTAGGTTTATGGTAATATTAGCTAAAATTGAAATGAAAACAATTTTTTCATGATTTTTAAAAATTTCATGATTATCAACTTCAGAGACCAATTATTTATAGAATGAAATGTCATTGAAACGTCTTTCTTTCTTTAATCGTATAGTACATAAAGAACCTAAAATTAAATTCAGTTTTAAATAGCAAAATTATTCCTGTTCATAAAAAATTAGATAATTTTTGGCTTTAACAGCCAATAACTCAAAGAAATCAAGATTTCGATAGTTTTTCTTTTTTAATTTTTAAGTATATTTTATTATCTTTTATTTGATATACATTTTAAAAAGATAGAATATTTTAATATAATGGCATTGAATGCTTCCACTAGATACGTTTTCTTATCATTTGACGTATTGTGAGCAAAATCCATCTAGTAGGGGGTGTTGGCGTATAAGACACACAAAGAAAAAAAACAAAAAAAACAGTAGAAAAACAAAGTAAAAGAATAAAGCATAATAAAAATAATTTTATCATATTACCTTTTTACTTTCTTCTTCGGGTATTTCTTCATTTTCAGTCTTTATTTGTTGGACTCTACACAGAATTAAAATAAAATCAAACAATTGCAAATTTCTGTACTCCGTTAAAAGGAAACCAAGGAAACTCAAAAAATTAAATGCACTATGCAATATGTCAACTATCATAGGATATATGTATTATTCCAAAGACTTTCCAGTGTACTTAACAAATTCCATGGCAAACTGGATGAATGATATAGTTTTATTAAAAACAAACAGACACACCCATTATATATATATGAAAGGATAGATAGATAAAAAGCAAATAATCACTATATCTAAGAATAAATGATATAAAACTAACAAGATACTAGTAAATATAACCCCAATTACAGTTAATTCTAGATAAAAGTTAATTGTTTAACTTACAAATCTTTGCAAAAATTTTCTCTCCAATTTTCTGGAGTATTTTCATTAGGTTTTCCATATTTATCTAGCAAACCTTCGCTTACCATTTTCTTTTTAGTAAGAGCCTAGAATAAAAAAAAAAATGATTACTATTTTAAAAAGTTATCATTTAACTAATAGTTGTACAATAAATAAAATTATAATAGTAATTTAAATTTTAAAATTAAAATACTATTTTCCATAAATCAATAATTAAAATTATTTCATAGTATGTTTACTTTTATTCTAATTTTAAAATAATTTATATACACTAACAAAAAGTAAATAAGGTAGTAACTCAAAATAGATTGTATTTGATTGAAAATGACTTTCATAATAATATTAAAAAATTAATTAAATTTAAAATGGACTAAATAACTAGTTATAGACCAGATTTAAATATTGAGAATACATTATTTATTTATAAAAAGTTGATTTTTAGCTATAAAAATAAAAAAACATATGATATTCGTAGTCACTCAAAATTATATTTTAATAAAAATAATTATGGTAAAATTTGAGCATAATAAGTCGTGTGCCTAAAAATGTTAATAATTTAAAATGATCAAGATAACATTTTTTACAAAAGATAACACGAAGTATATAATTTTTATACAATTTTAATGTAACTTTAAAATTTACCACAACAAAGTACAACAAAAAACTAATATGTTGTTTTATCATACTATTAAATGAAATCAGTTTTTCTTAACTTTACGAAAAACTATAAATAAAAACTTAAAATATATATCTTTTTTATTTATATAAAAATGTACTATAATAATGCTCATTGTGATTTTGACATCACATTACAATTAAAGAGCACACACTCAAAAATAGAAAAATTACCCAATTTTGTATAACTTCAACACCTTTATAAAAATTACTTATCATGCTCAAATTTTACCAGAATGATTTTTTTGAGTGAACCAAACAAAATTTTATGCCCGCACGTAAAATTTTTTGAAGTCGAAAAATGTACTCTACTCTAATACATTTATATAGTAAATAAACTATTAAATGTTTTTAAACTCTTGAAAAGTTAGGAACTGATAGTTACTCTCTTTATTTCTACTTATATTGACATAAACATATTTTAGATATATTTTAATGTACTTCAAAACATTTAATATCGCTAAAATTAAAAGTTGATTCTGTAGAAAATCATAAGCATCTCCAGATAAATTACAATTAAGTTAATCAGTGTATTAATATGATAGAACAGTTTTTAATTTAAGCTCTGTAAATCTAAAGAATAATTTCTAAAATGTATAGTTTGGATTAATGTTATGAAAATTACTCTTAAGACCAACTTTCACTTTAAATTATCATATAAAGTTATTTGAATAATATACTAAAATATTTGAGGACTGGAATATAACTAATTTAAAAATAAAGTAATAAGATAGATATCAAAAATGTCAGTTTTTAAGGAATTCTATTGAAATTATTTACAACATATGAATAAAATTTAATTTAAATAATTAAATAAAATTAATTCATAAAATATATTCAATAAAAAAATTATAATCACCAAAGGTTACAATTTTAAAAATACTATTTTTTGTGGAATATTAAAATAATACCAGTCACATATAGTTTTTAAAATTAATTATGGATCTACTAATAGATAAAAATAACTTTATGTAGGGTTTTTGAAAAATACCCATTATAATGTTATTTATTTAAATTAATAATGTACCATAGGCCCTAGACCCCATTTACGAGGGTAGGTATCTCGATCCATTAAAACACGTTTGAGTTTAGCAACTATTCCATGATCACAACTAGATATTGTAGCAGTAGTCATCAATGCTATACCTGCATAGTAGCAAAATAATATGAATATTATTAAAATATGTATGATTTTATGCTATAAATCAATGAGACTACAAATTTTAAACAAAAATTTACCTAATGCAATAGCTTCTCCTTTTGATGAAACTATTACTATTTGCATATTTAATTCAATACCATCATCATATCGAAGAATACCAGGTAACATTATTTTTGCTCCGTGACAAATAGCATTAACCTAAAATTAAATTAAAAAGTTTTTTGAATAATAATTCAGAATCATAATATAAGAAGGTACTTACTGCACTATCTTTAATGAATATACGTTTGTAATTAGTTAGTAATCCTTCAAGGGGTCTAATTACACGTCTTAAATACGACTCATCTTTATTGTTTTCATACATCCACTGAGCATCTAAAACATCATGTAATGTAGCAAGACCCTGTTCTTCACTTGTAATACCTGGAAGTAAATCAATTAAAATTTAAATCTTAAAAAAAAAAAGACTCTTAAATTACCTGACCGATTTCTACGGAGTTCTATCATTTGACCTCCTGTACCTAAAATTAAACCTAAATGAACACAATAAGTTCGTACATATGTTCCAGCTTCACATTTAAGCCAGACAACACCAGTGTTGGACTCTTCATCATAGTCTAGTAATTTATTTTCATAAATTGTTCGAATACGAAGTTGTCTTTTAACTGCTGCTATTAAAGGAGGACGTTGAAATAAAGGTCCCCGTAATGATTCTAATGTTTTTTTAATCTATATATTTATATACACATAAAAGTAAAATATAACTTATAAAAAATATTTACATATTATAACACTTACATCAAGAACACTTTCAACTGGATTGTGAAGTTTGAAAATTGAAATATACTCTTTACCACTGGTTTGTTGAGATTTTACAAGTCTAGTACAGCGTTCAATACAAACAACCAGTACACCTAAATATATTGAAATTAATTAATTTAATTAATATTAAAAAAAATATAGAAACCATAAAGTATTTAAAACAAATTATGTATTTTTGACATTATCTATGTTGAGAACTTAAGGTGAGGTAAGGTAAATGTAAATTTATATTTTTATTTTTTGTTAGATATACATAACCAATATTTTCTCAATTTTTTTAATTTCGGTGCAAAACTGAAAAGTTATTAATTTTACTTTGAAAATTTAAATTGTAAAATTTAATATTTTTCAGTATCTTATACTACACGGCTGCTTTAAAGAGTACTTACACCGAATTTGTAAAGCAGGCGCGCCGACGTACGACCACTGTTCATATCGCCCAGGAGAGGCTGACAGCGCTCTGCACACCCTCTTCCGGTGCGAGGCGTGAGCCCAAGAGCGGGACTCTTTAGAGTCTCGACTAAGGTCCACGTTCCAAGTTGGGTCCATGGTGGACCTGATGTTGAAAAGCGTGGAGGCTCGTCTAGGCATTCGCCTAATCCGTCTTGTTAAAGATGGAGGAAGCCGAATGCCTGAGACAGAGGCAGCCACGCCGCCTGGCACAGGAGGACCTGAGGCGCTGGTTTAGGCCGGCGCCTTAGGTATTCGTGTTTTATGTTTTTGTGATCTGGCTAACGGGGGAGGTCACACCATGTTATGAATCAGCTCTTGATTTATTTCGGGTTGATTTACAACGTGGTGGTGTGAGTTTTAGAAACCGCCCTGAAGTAATACCTAGCAGTAGTTCCAGGGCAGCCCACACTTATGCTAGTCGCGTAAAATAAAAAAAAAAAGAATCTTATACTAGATTGATCATGTTGATAATAATTAATTTGATTTCATAAACTTAATTTATAATTAGTTGTTTAATTCCAACTTTGTGATATTGACCTAAATTATTATTTTTTTTTAGCTTTGATGCAAAGCTGAAAAGGTATTAATTTATAGTAAACTATGATGTGTTTTTTTGTTTTTATGTCTGTTGCCACTTTTTCTCAACTCTAACCGAACCAAATTATTTCAACCATACGTCAAAATATCATAAATTGTATCTAGTAAAGACATTGTTCTTAAAAATTTTAAAAATTTCCTTAATTTCTTGTAAATGGAGAAAATCCGCCAAAAAAATTACAATTTTTAAAATTGGTAATTTTGACATTTTTTTCTCTTAAAACAGCCATAACTTTTTGAAAAATGAATGTACCAAAATAATTTTTTTTTAATAGAAACCTTAGGTATTTTTCTTTCATTTGATATAATTTTTTTGAAATTCTGAACCTTTACTTGCCCACAGAGGATTCAAAATAGTAACTTTTTCACATAATTCAATATTTTCAACATAACTTTTGAAAATATTCCGGAAATACTGCGTCCTTTAAACATATGTTAAATTAAAACTTATGTTACGTACTATAAATAAAAATAAAAAAACTTTTCCCGATACCTAGTCTTCTATGTGCAAATCGTTACCTAAGTTAAACAAAAAATAGGAGTTGATTTTGCTTTTAGAATAATCGACCAATTTCTAAAAATTAATCACTATCTACAGATTTGCATTGAAACATTTCTTATGATAATGATTTTAATCATTGTAAGATACTATCTATACATGTTCCAACTATGCCATGTCCATACTATGCTACCATACAAATCTGAGTAGGTTTTTTTTAAATAAATGTATTTAAAAAAAAAATTATTTATTTAGATTTTAAGCAATTGAATTAATTTAAAAATTATTATTTTTATTATGTAAAGATAGACATGAAATTTCAAACTTGATAAATAATTTAAGACTTGATGATGATTAAACCACAATTAAAAAATTGAAAAATCAAGAAATTATATCATAAATTCAATAGTAAAAAATTACCTGAAGTCTTTGGATCTAATGTTCCAGAATGACCAGTTTTTTCAACTTTTAATATACGTTTAATCCATGCTACTACTTCATGTGAACTTGGATTAGAAGGTTTATCTAAATTTATGAATCCAGATCTTATATATTCTTTAATATCTCTTTGCAAAGGATTAGCACCAAATGGCAATGGTGTATAATGATTTGTACGGACATTCAATGTATCAAAGTGCTAATTAATCAAAAAACTAATAAGACATTTGTCTGTACAAAGTAATATAATGGTATTATATATATATTTAAATAAAATAACAATATTACAGTTATTAATTAAATTTCTAACAAATTAAAAAAACTGCTCTAACCTTTAAAAGCAAAGGCCACTTAGAGGAATCAATTCGTTCGATTTTTTCTGATGGTTTCAAAAAAAAAGGAAGTTCTGTTTGAATTTCTCCGATTGATTTATCTTCATCTTTAGACTTCTTTGGTTTCTTTTTCTTTATATTTTCTATAATAACATTAACCGTAATTTACGAGTACTTAATAAAATATTATAATAAATATAACAAAAAGAGGAAACACAATTAAATAGAAAATAAAAACTTACGTGTATCTTCCATTTTGTAAAATTATTTAAATACTTGTAAACAAAATAAAAATTCAAATACTAGAAAAAATTTTAACATTAATATTATCTTATTGTTGGTGTAACAGATGCACTGACAATATTAGTGTATGAAACACGTGCGAACCACCATAAACATAAACAAACCTATACTTTTAGAGGTTAGACCGGTAAGTGCCTGACAACTGATATCTCATGGAAGTGAATTTCGTACACAATTAAATTATAGGCTATACCATACACTAAGATAAAACGGACAGGACAAGAAACATTATCGGGCAATCCGATTTTGTAATATATAACTCATATACAGAGGAATTTTGAAGTAACATCGCCATCTACTATTTTCTTGATTTTCCCTTTCCGTTTTTTAAATTTTGTATTCTGAAAAAATGTTTGTCCCTATAGCTCATCACTGCTTGCCAAGTATTCACCCTTCTACAAAGTTTCTGTAACGGAATGCACTCCCCGTTTCCACCGACCTTGTCTTTATTAGTCCATCTTAACTTAGATTGGTACTATAATTTAAAATATACGAAAAATTTTGATGTGAATCAACACGCTTAATTAATTTGAAATTTATTTACGTTTCTGACGCAAATATGGGAGTGCTTTCCAGTATCATTATAAAATTATATGTATTGTTACATAAAAATATTTTTTAGTGATGGAAAAAATAACATTTCATTTTACAGTACCCCAAAAATTTTATTCTTGCTGTCTCAATGCATGCATTGAAACATTTACATTTATGTATAATGTAAATGATAAAATATACATCTCGGTGAACTGGCGTTCCAAGGTCCACGCGGATAAGGGTTATCAGGAAAGAATTAAAATAATCATAACGTGACATTAGCTAACGGAACACTGACCTAAGAGTCAGTGGTCAAATCCTTTTTTATTATTAACACGCTTATGTTAGTTTCACTTGTATGTTGTGTGTTTGTTTATAAATCTCCACCCGCCACGTGTTATTATACTCCCGTACCCGTCGTCTATAACCTTGAGACTAGACATCTTAACGCATTCACCTCACCCCGCTCACCACACACCGAAAATACTAATCCTGTATAATTTTATATTTTTGGTTTTATATATTTTATATATTCCTACCGCCGCTGCCGCCGTTTATACCTTAGGTATAACGTTCCCCCCGCCAATAAAACACAGCTATACCTTGTGCATGATACTTTTGCGTACTTAAGTCGCTTTACATGTATATATATACATTCTAAAAACTATTTATAATTTATATTAACACGCTTTATTCTCATTAAGAGATATAGAGTGTATTCATTCCGATTACAAAGGATGATTCCCGTATCGTCATTTTTCGTCCCTACCACCATGTTCCGGGTGTGAGTAATTTACGCACCTGCTGCTTTCCTTGGATGTGGTAGCCGTTTCTCAGACCCCCTCACCGGAATCGAACCCTGATTTTCCGTTACCCGTTAATATGATATTGATAGTAACTACTATCATAACATGAAACTAAAAAGTAAAAAATAAATATAGTTAAAAAAAAACTAAAAAATCACGCTTTTAAAGCACATCGAACTAAAAATTATTTTTAACTTTTTAGTTCAATGTGCTTTAAAAGTGTGTTTTTTTAGTTTGTTTAAACTATATTTATTCAAACTCAATTGTGATTAACAGTTACAGGAATTTGATAGCAATTACTTTTTAAATAATAATTCGGTTAACAATACTTTCTAAAATATTACATAATGATTCACAAAAAACATTAAGATAAATTTTATCACTTCCAAATATGCACAAAATAATAAAGCTTCACGACAAAATATAAAGAAATTAACGTTGTTTGATAAAAAAATTAATGGATTGATAGGATTAATAATTAGAAAATTGTGTTATTTATTATTATTATACTCATTTTTTAAAAATTACTATTAAGCATAGAGACCTAACTTAAAATAATTTAGGGGTTTAAAAAAAAAACAGAAAATCTATTTGTATATTACATTATTATTTTGTATATATTTAAAATTTATAAATTATGTTAATATTATTAGTGAATTCTTATGTAATATTTTAAAAAGTATTGTTAACCGAATTATTATTTAGAAAGTAATTGCTAACAAATTCATGTAACTGTTAATCACAATTGAGTTTGAATAAAAAGGGACTTGACCACTGACTACGAGTCAGTGTTCCGTTTGCTAATGTCACGTTGTAATTATTATTTTGATTCTTCCTGACAACACTTATCCATGTGGTTGAGCGTGGGCCTAGACTTTTTAGTTCATCACAATCTTTTGTATTATAGAAAAACGATGAGTCCTTTTAGCTTCGATGCGAAGCGGAGAAGGTATTAATTTTACTATGATGTGTTTTTTTTTTTTTTTTTTTTTTTTTTTTTTT